TACACTACTTTAACAAAGTTAAGCAGCCTAAAGACTCTTGTGTTAATAACTATAACTTATAATTCTTTAAGAAATAAGTTACTAGTCTTGCTTCTATTACTTAAGTAGACTTTAAATACTATATAGCTAAGATAGAACGTCTGTCTATAAGTAAGAAGAAGATCTAGAAGCTAGTTCTAGCTTACATTCTTAATAAGTTTTCTAACTTGTTTAGCCTATAGTTAGTAAACATTCTCTTCTCTTAATAACTAGGTGTTAACTACACTATTAATATTAAGCCTAGCACTACTACGCCTAAGCCTTATATTTATAAGCTTATCTATAAGAAGACTCTAGCTATAAAGGTATATATTAATAAGATAATTAGTAAGAGCTTTATCTAGCTCTCTATATCTCTATACGCGTTTCTAGTACTAGTTATTAAAAAGCTATTAGGTAGGTTATAGATCTACGTTAACTATTAAGAGCTTAACGCTGTTACCTACAAAAACTATAACACGCTGTCTACTATTAAAGAGACTCTCGCCTATATAGTAAAAGTACAGGTTATAATACTTATTAATATTATTACTGCGTTTAACTCTATAAGAATAAAAGAGAGCTATAAAGAGAAAACAGCTTTTCTTACTTAGTACAGCCTCTATAAGTACCTAGTAATGCTCTTTAGCCTCTATAACGCCTCTAGCACTTTCTAGACTTTTATTAATAAAACTCTCTATAATTACCTTAATATTATTTATATAGCTTATCTTAATAATATTCTTATCTATTTAGATAATAAGAATAAGCACAAAAACTATATGCTTATAGTCTTAGAAAAGATTAGTAAAGTAGGTATATACTTTAACACTGCTAAGTGCACCTTTTCTATAAAAAGAGTTAGGTACCTAGGTCTTATTCTTACTACTAATAGCCTAGAAATAGACCTAAAAAAGGTAGCTACTATCTTAGAATAGTAGACTCTACGCAACGTAAAGAACGTCTAGGCATTTCTTAGGTTTGCTAATTTCTATAGATAGTTTATTAAAGGCTTCTTGTTAATAGTAAAGCATCTTATAGAGCTTACTAAAGTAGATAGTAAGAAGGCCTTTTTTCTTGCACTAGATTTAAAGGCACTAGTGTTCTTCTAGCACTTAAAGAATGCCTTTAAGACTATAAGTATGCTTGCCTATTTTAACGCTAATCTAGATACCTAGTTAGAGATAGACGTGTTAGACTTTGTTATAGCTGCTATATTATTCTAAATATATAAAGGTATTCTTTGCTTTATTGCATTTATCTTCTATAAGATAAACTTAGCTAAATGTAATTATAAGATCTATAATAAAGAGCTTCTTGCTATTGTCTAGGCCTTTAAGAAGTAGCGCTTTAAATTAGCTAGAATATTAGACCTAGTTAAGGTTCTCTCTAATTACTAAGCCTTATAGACGTTTATAACTAATAAACGTCTTAATTATTAGTAGGCTTAGTAGGCTAAATTTCTTTCTAAGTTTAATTTTAGCATTACCTACTAGCTAGGCTAATAGAGCACTAAGCTAGACGCTCTTACTAGGCAACTAGAAGACCTTCTAGAGGACGCTAACAACAACTACTACTAGCACTAATAGTAGGTAGTGCTAAAACTATACTAGGTTAACCTTACTCTATAGGTAGTAACCTTTATAAGCTAGTAAAGGCTAGATATAAGGCACGCTCTATTTCTTGCGTATTACTACCTCTATTGTGTTAACCTCTCTATTCTTAATATAGCCTAGCGCATATATAATAATAGTAAGATAGACACTATTTATAAGCGCAACACTATTAATAACGCGCTATATCTTGCACTAGTTAACGCGCGCTCTAATAATGTTACTGCGCTAGAAGAAGAAGAGAATAACGCAGACATTAAATCTGCAGCGCCTAACGTAGGTACTACTAATAACTTAACTAACGCTATATAAGCTACTAGTCTACATAATAGAACGCTTTAGGCTATTATTATAGCTAAGCAAGATAGTTAATAATATCTGCCTGCTAACCTTAGCGACTAAGACTAGCGCTTCTGCATTAAGCTTAGAAACTGTGCTATCTACAACAGTCTACTATATATCTAAGAGAAGGTATATGTCTCTAACGTTAACTAGCTGCGTACTTATATCTTAGACTAAGTCTACTAATTACTCTACGCTAGAGAACATAGAAGTAAGTATAAGATATACACTAAAGCTACTCGCTAGTATTACTAGCTACGTATAACTTATAATGTAGCTTAGTATATATAAGTCTATCTTACCTACTACTATGCTAAATTACATTAGAAAGGTAAACAAAGGCTTTTCTACTCTCTTCTAATACCTAAAAGGTACTAGAGCTTAATTTTAATAGATTATATTACTTACTTACTACTCTGCACTAATAACAGACATACCTATAAGAATATTCTTATTATAGTAGACTGCCTAAGCAAGAAGAAAAAGTTTATCTCTATTACTAACCTCTATGTTAATACTCTTGTCTAAGCATTTGTTAAGTACGTATAGTAAGAGAAGAGCTACCTAGAATACATTGTATTAGACTATAGCTCTTAGTTTATATTCTATTTCTAGACGCGCCTATACTAACGCCTTAGAATAAAGCCTAAGCTATCTATAGTATATTATCTAGAGACTAATAGTTAAACTAAGAACGCTAATACCTTTCTTAAGTAATACCTTAGAGCATATATTAACTATAAGTAAGATAACTAGGCTTTACTACTGCCTATAGCAGAATTTAAAGCTAACACTGCTATTAACGTAAGCACTAGTGTGTTAGTATTTACTATAATAAAGAGTTATATGCTCTAATCTAGCATAGAGCTAGCAAAGGCCTTAGATATATAACTAACTATACCTACTTACTATAATTGCCTTAACACTAATAAGTTTGCTAAATAACTAAATAAGCTGCGCAAGTACTTGCGCAACTAAATTATTTAGGCGTAGACTAAATAAGTAGAATACGCTAATAATTACTGTATTTCTACACCTAAATTCTAAGTTAGCAATTGCGTTATAGTAGACTTCTGCTACCTAAGAATAACGCAGCCTAACTAGTTATTAGACTTTAAGAATTGCGGGCTTTTTTTTGTTATCTGCGTTATTAATAATATAGCCTATAAGGTAGCTCTTACGCTAGGCATGCGAGCCTATAATATCTTCTATTCTTAGCTTTTGCATTGCGTAGAAGAAGATCTACTGCCTAGCTAGGTTTAGAATAATAAAGAATCTATTAAGCTTACAGACCTAGACGTTAATAATAATACAAACTACACTATTAAAGCTATTCTAGATAGCTAAATTAATAAGCGTAAGAAGAACTCTAGGCTAAATAACGTAAAGAGCTTGCTGTAATACTATATATAGTAGGCTAACTACCTAGACAGCCTAGACAACCTATTATAGAAGCTGTACATAAATTTTGTAGACTTAGCTAACTTAGTTACTAAGTATTACTATTACTAACTTAGTAAACTAGAACTACATGTAAAGTTTAGCACGCTAATAGGTAAGTAAGACCTCTTAATAATAGCGCTTTATTAGAGCAATAATCGCAACTAACTATAGCTGCGTAGAACTATTATATTATAAGTAGTTACGTAATACTCTAATATAATACGTTACTTATACATTAAAAAGGCTACCTCTACGTATTATCTTACTACGCAACGCTTAACAAGAACTAATACTTATACTATATAACTTACTACATAAGAAGCTTGCTAGTGTTGCTATTATACTTTCTATAACCTAATAATAAGGTTATTGCTGCGCTATATTATGTAATATTAACTTAGAGATTATAATTCTGCTAGACTAGTGTTAAGACAAAGGTAGTAATAGCCTATAACAGCTTAGACGCGTAGGCTGTTATAGAGATACTACGCCTACTAGTGTGCTAACTTTTATAGATTCTACGTTCTACGTTAATAACTGCTCTCTTCTTCTAACTACCTTAAAGCTGCTTAATGCGCTATAATTAATATAATAGAGGTAATACAGAATAGAGGCAAGAGATAATAATAGTAGAAGATGCTGTAGCCTGTATAGCTTTTGCGAAATAGGTATCTTCTTTGTACACTAATTTAGACAAGCGTTAGGCATAATATTACTTTCGCGATATACTAAAAAGTTAGTTAAAAAATAAGGCTAGGGTAATAGAACTGCTCTAAAGAAGAGAAGAGTAGTATTATAGATTAAACTTATAACTCTACCTAATTAGGCCTAGCGCGTATTAAGTAAGGAACATTAAAACCTTACGTATATAGCTGTTTGTTTAATAACATAGTATTTTACAAGTAATACAATCTTATTCTATATACCTATTACACTATTAACTACTTTTACTATTAAAATGTATATAAAAGCTATTATATATAATATATAAGAGTAAAATAAAAGCTATTATTTTATATTATAATTATAGTAGTAATAAGCCTTTGTTAGTTAAATATTAAATAATAGGCCTCTAATAGTACATTGTTAATTTAATAGCCTATTTAACGTCTTTTACCCCCCTAGGGATGCGCGCTACGGTGGTTTCCCTTATAGCCCACTCCGCAGCGAGATCGTCTACTTTAACGTGCGCGAATGAATATGTTCCCCTCTTCAAAAATACAAATAAGGGTATTCGTCTGCGAACGTATCGTAATTCATACTCGTCAGGCTGAACTGTACGAGAGGAAACTGTCCCGCCATCTGCCCCCACGACCTGTTGGAGGTCGTGAGTCCGTCACAACCTGGGAAAATGAAGAGCACACGGATCGGGCGCCCTGCTAGCTCTTGGTAGTGTAGGATAGCCTGCTTGATCGACTCGCGGTAACAAGAGGTTTGGCTTAGCTGACCGAAGACGGTTTCCATGGAGGAGTCGTGTCCCAAAAAATACGGTAGGTATATTGGCGATGCGATTTCCATTTCCCACACGTTATCAGGATGCGCGAGTCTGGTGTGGGGCGTAGCCAGACGATTGCAGACACGGTTCTATGTGTTGTATAGCGCATCCACGTGAGCGTGCGCTTCCGTCTCTGCGTCCTGGCATGCGGAATCTTCCTTGGATCGGGGTCCGCTGGATCGCGAACAAGACAGCACGATATCGAAGGTCTCTCTAATATCGTCGGTATTGTCTTGGACATGTACGTCTGTCCCAAATAGTGCTCTTGCGTCAGGGCAGCACACATAACTGACGGCAGGGTTGATAGTAGTCGGTCTGTCTGAGCGGGTGAGAGAAGGTCGCACCTCGACTCCGTCTTCGTCGATCTGTATGAGTAGACCCTTTGAGCTGCTGAAATCTCTCCGTTTAGGCTCCTTTATATTGGCGGTCCTCGTAGCCGACCAACGTCTCGTCAATCTCGTGAAGAGGACGTTCGGTATCAGGCCGTCCGGCTCGTGCTCGAGAACAGCCATGATTGTGCGAAGCTTTGTGACTACGAATGCCTTTCTTTGAACGAGTATATCCATGTCGTCGGATGTCGCTCGAGCCAGTATGTCGACATTGGGCGCTGAACTGGACACGGATTTGGACGCTGAGGGGGACGCGGGGGTGGGCGCGGGGGCAGCGATGATGGTACAGTATTCATCCTGAATGGCTTTGCTCCATGGTCCCACTTCAGTCGTCTCAGCCGTACGGCGCCAGAGTAATTTGGCTTTTTGTGGCGAACATCCGATCCATGGCTGGGTGATGGCGTTCGGGTCTTCCTTCTATGAAACGGTACGATGGTAGGTAGGTGTACTCAGCATACGTACTGCATCGGGTGCACTCGACCATATTTCTTTTCCACTCGGACCGATCGCAAAGGCGAATCCAGATGCCGGCTTCCTAGTAGCGTTGCATCGCGCGAGATCTAGCTCTTCAAACTGCACCTACGTCATCGATCCGGTAGTGCCGAGCATCAACTATATCCAACTGAAATCCATCACCATGCTTGGTATCCTTACCTCCCTCAATACCAGAGAACAAGCTTTCAGACACCATGGCACCAGGCGATAACCTACCCGATTTTCTCACGAACACCAAGCTCGACCCCAGCTTCGACAAAGACATTCTCGACACACATCTGATCTACGATTACGATGCGCAAGACAACGATGGCAACCCCGAAAAGTGGCGGTACGAACTATGGTGTTTCTCTTCGGAGCGTGTCGTCTATGCCATCCATGGTGGTCCAATGGCTGGCCGCATCAACTACCAGCGCGCAACATACCAATGTATCCGCCCCGGCGAACTATGGCAGATCAATTGGCTCGAAGAGACAGGCAGCATCGTTTCTGCAGTCTACGACATCAAGGAGAAGAAGATGACGACGTTGATCGCCTTCTCGGAGGGCCACTGGAAGAGGGCGAAAGAGGCGCTGGGCGACAAGAGGAAGAAGGAGGATCTGGAGAGATGGAGGGGGCTGGCTGGTGTAGGAAACCAAACGTCGAGGTTCATGCTGAGCGAGCAGGCCCATGTTGTGGAGGTGTTCAAGGGCAAGGGTGAATTGGTGCCGATCAAAGAGAGCGATCCCCTGTTCTGATTGTGTACAACCGATGGACATCACCCAATGAAGCCGTTACCATGTACCAGTCATCTCGCTTGGTATATCCATTCGTTGACTACGACAAAGACGTTAGAAGAGACCATGGTGCTGGTACCATTGCATGGCATGAGATGAGGTGTTCAAGGGATCGCAACCTGTCGGGGCCATAGTGCCGGTAATGAAGTCAAAGCAACGTACCTTGCATTGCAGAATGGTAGTGCGACCATCCACGCGATGCTGTGTAGCAAGCCAGTGCCACAATGTAACCGAAGCGGTGAGCCATCCTGCCACAGTTCGGCGACCTGTTCGGCGTTCTGGAGTACCGTTACATGTTGTCGCAGACATCCATTACGACGCCATTCGGGTTCTCGTGCGCATGCGATACGTGTTTGTCCTCCAGACTTGGTTTGTTCTTGTGTGTCTCAAGGGCTTATGATATGTGAAAACCGTCCCCCAGGACTACTCTCCATATTCCTCTGGCACTCCTCGCTTGAGCACATGACATGCGCTACACCGAGAGAGCGGGGGGCGGAAGACCGATGTGGGAATGTCTCAATATCGCTTGGTTTCAACAACTCAACAAGACAGTCGGATCCCGTTAGAGTCAGAAGATGCGCTCGGAGCAGTAGTAGCAAGTATCGCTTGTGCTCCGGTGGATGCCGGGACATTACCGACCCGGTGGTCCTTTGTTCCTATGGGATACTCAATGCTTGTGATGATCTTGGTCTTTTGGCAGGTTTCTTTAGTACGACGAAGGCTATAACGTGCTGCGGTCAGAATGTAAAGGCATTGCTGACGTTGCTTCTCAGTACGTGTCGTCATCTTTCCGAACTCTTACGTTGCTTTTGCTCGCATCCTATAGGAACATCGTGTAGTCACTTGCGACCACGTGCAGTGCTACGGGTGTCGCTGTACTTGAAGAAGTAATGGATTGGGTTTCTCCTTCCGTACAGCCGGGCGAAGGCGCTGCACATGTCTGATAACGGTGTGGGGTAATGCCCGTCAGCAGCCAGGTCCCAGCGCAACGCTTCCTCGTATGCCCAGCGGGCTTCACGGCATTCATTCAGCGCGGGGTCCTTCGGCCCTGCGTAAGATATAGGCAAGGTTTGTACCGGACGTTTCAGTCGCTTCTCGAAGACACTGAAGATCCAGGGATGGTGGGAGCGGCGCACGCCTTGGCTGTTAGCGGCATGTTGTGAGTGGTGAGTGGCTTGGTTGGACAAAGAACAGACCGCATGTTCGGAGTCCGATGCCTGCTAAGCGCCCGCAGTCTGCTGCTGTAAGGACGGTGAGACTCGTCATGCGCCATTGGACTGGTCTTGCGCTAAGGCCAGATGTGTAGAGAGATTGAGCAAACGAAAGGACTCCAGGGCAATCTCCACTCACGCCATGTTAGATGATGGACGAAGGCATGCCGACAGCTCCAGGCCATCGCACGAGAGCATAACAGATCGTCGGGACCGCCGGAGACAAGCAACTGACCGTGCTTTGATGGAAAAGTTAAAGGGCAGAGTTAATTTTCCGATGCATTGCTCCGGCCCTTCCAAGGTTGAGTATGGAGTGTCAGTCTGGCCCTACCGCATTAAGCTAGCGTGAACCCTATCCATGCGACATTGCCCAGGTGGTTTCTGGCCCCCCAGCCAGTACGCCATGTGCCACAACAGCAGACAGTCGGTAGCAGCGCGACGCTACTCGCCCATGGACTCTTATGGTGCTTCATCAGCTGCTGCCAGCCTAGCAGCTATGTCCAGCTCGCCGTCCCTCATTCCTCGTGTGCCTCCTCCATATTCCTTTTGCTGCCTCGCGACCCCAGGCTGAATCACCACCCCGTTTCATTTCGACTTGCTTTTTACTCCTCGGTCTGGAACAAGTCGCCTTCAAATATTCGCCAGTCTGAACTCTCACACCACACAAACCCCAGCCATGGACCGCCCAGCACTCACATCACGGGAGCATCTGGAGCTCTTGCGAAGCTCTGCGTTTGAATCCGAACATGCCTGGCTCTACGACACTTCCTATCTGCAACACGAGGCAGCAGCGATGGCGTTGGAGCAAGAGATTGAGCAATCGCATGCCAGTATATCGCCAGACGACAACTCAGACGAGCAAGTGCGCATCATCAAGACGCAGATCAATATCCACAGGGAGAGGCAGCGGGCGCTAAGGCCGCATCTTGAAAGCGGGAGCGACCAGATCGACGAAGATGGGAACGAGTGCGTCTTTGTGCCAGCGCCGAACCAATGGGGCGCGAATGGAGACCTGGACGAGGAGAGCGAGAGTCTGTCTGCAGTGAGTAGTAATCTATGTTAATACTGTTAGTGTTGGGTCGTGACTAACATGCCTCAGATCCACAACCTCCTTACATGGCAAACTTCATACTCGCCCGTCTCACATGCCCCGCGTGACGAACTTCCCTCTCCAAATACACCGTACCACTCGCTGCTCGACCCGCACCAGCCCACGACCACGTACAATCTTCACCGCACGCGAGAATGGACGGGATCTTCAGGCTTCAGGAAGTTCATCTACAGCGCACGCGACTACTCGGATAAATACGCTCTATACATGCTTGAAGCCACCCACCGCGACGACAGCCAAGTCAACGCTGCAGACTTCTTCCGTGTCGCCGAGTACCCACAACCATGCATAAACATCCTTCTCTCCGGCATTGACAAGAAGCGCGCCATGACCAAAGACGCGGCCTACAAGTCGCGGTGCATACATCTACGCGGACCATTCTCGCAACCGATCAAAGAATACCCAGACAGGCAACAGAAGATACCATGGTCACCGCGACGATTCAAATATGGTGGACGTCGCTTCGTGTGGAAGCAAGGAGATCCTAACGACGATGCCATGCCGGAGACTTTGTACGAATATCAACAAGACTGGATAAAGCCAGGAAGCAGGACGGGCAAGCGATGCGACGATGCAAAGCTGATCAAACTTGTCTGGGGAGAAAAGAGGAGGAAGGGTAAAGTGGACAGCTACACGATCCATTTCAAGGGCGGCATGGATCAAGTCTTCAGGGAGATCTTGCTGGCCAGTCAGATGGCCAGGCAGGTATGTCTTTTCACCGCTATGGACTGAAGTCGCCATCTTTCGTCGGCCAGGGTTGAAATTGTACTTGTATATAACCACACAGCGCGAGGCGTTCAAGGGGGCCGTGGAACACGGGACGGATACCATGGAACATCATTTTGCAGTCAGTTCCCAGCGGAGCTTTCTGCTATTACAGTTTACAAGATCTTTGGAGTGGGCAGCAGGCTTCTCTACTACCTTGGACATAATTCCAGCCCAAGGGCAACACTAATCAAACTCAAATATTAGTCCTTCCATAGGGCAGCAACGCAATCGTCCACCAGCTTCTCACTTGACAACTACTCACCCAGGACGAATTGCGAAACATGAGTCAAATTGCGTGACCGTCTGCATGCAATTCATCTGACTCATCTGAATGCCCACGTTGAAGCGAAGAGAGGGAATATCCGCAGGACCGTTACATTGTGTAAGCTGCATATGCATGCTACGCTGTAGATTAGACGATAGCCTTGCTAACATACGCCCCTTACGGTATGTTGGCGCTGGTCGCATTGGCGCACCCTGCGATATTTGCCCTGGGTACTTTTTAGGAATACAAAATTATGCACCATCGGCTGTGGCTGAAGTTGGTCGCAGGTGGTAATGAGCATGTTGTTTTTTGTGGCGTGGCTCTACGCGCGAAATCCAATGCACATGACCAACTTGAATACTATCATGATAGGCAGGTTCGGATGTCTCGGAGAGATGCGATTCAGGAAGGCGTGCTCGTTGTGCTCAGGTGGAACAACGCTCCTTCCTACCATGTCGCCTGAGCCAGCATGTAAATGCAGGCGCTGTACACCGGTGTAGGTAAATATCACGATGACTTCATCGCCAGTCATTCGTGCATGCTCTCCGAACCCATCATCGATCGCATCTCCCCACGCACTCATATCGCATTATTGGTCACAGCGTACCCACCTGTGATATTCGTTACTGATATCTTTCCTGGATCAAGGGCATCAATTCGACGTTGAAAGCTGCCAGACCCAAAATCTTACCTGCGTCCTCGGCTGACGCCCACCGCTTCGCAACAGAACCGGCAACCTGTTAGCACACCCTGGTGCATACGCCACTTTGCGGGTATATCAAATCACAACTCGGAGCGTGCGTTACTGCATACAACCCGACCGATCAGCACGCAACAGGGC